AAATAGCCTGCATCGTTTCCAAAATTCCCGAATAAAACTTATGGTTCTCAGTGCTCCCCTAGAAAAATATTTCTAAAAATATAATTATTTTAAAAATAGGATTTTCTTTATATAACAATTTTGTTTAATATTATGTTTGCTGTAACATTGAACAGTATTATCTCATGATTATTAATTATGATATATAAGACGTATCACGTAGGTAATTTAGCACCCCAAGTTCAGCGTACTTAAATGACCGTATTTTTCGGTTTATAAGACGCACTTTTTTACCCCGAAATTTGATGCCAAAATCTGCTTGCGTCATATACACCGAAGGTATGAATAATATATATGTATATATGCGATATACACAAGCCATGTGTAAATATATTTAAATAGGCATGCATAGTTTAGTTCAATTGAATGTGATATTTATAGCAATAGTAGTTTTTTTCTTTTAAAAACATAACTTTTTATAATGCTCCCTAAATAATAAAAAAATAAATTACAGTGAAAGCAATGAAGATTTTGTAGGTTTTGAACCAAACTAAACAACAGTAAACCTTTTTTTGATTTACGGTATTTTCTTATTTTCATGTTTTGAGCTCTTTTGTGTTTAGAACAATATACACTAATTTCTAAACTATCAAACTGAAATTTTGTTCAATAAAAATCTTTCAAATGCGATTGTAGTTTTTTTTTCCCCAAAAACTTTGTCTTCAAAATAAGGGTGCGTCTTATATTCCGAAAAATACGGTAAACTTTTACTGAGAAAAAACACTGGAAATTGAATACAATATTTAGGTTTAAAAATATATAGATCTGATAAGAATATATATATACTCCCTGATATATAGATCCGTTACTTCTTCACAAACTGTTTAAATGTAATTCAGTATTTGCTATAACTTACTTATTTTTTAAACAGTGAAGACGATCATAACCTATTTGAAATTATATTAGTCACTTATTGTAAACATTAAAGACTTTCTTAATTTACTAAATGGAGCTTACTATAAAAAATCACTGTCTGATTATATTCGCTGACTATCACTTTACATTGACGGATATTTCTATTTCAAAAGATAATAAATCCGGTAATGTTTTATGTATATTTTTTTCTGTTCGTGAGTGTCTTTACATTGAAAGCAATTTAACAGCTGAAGTAAATTTACGCCAGCACAGTTAAAACCACTTGTTAGATATTTTTACTTAACAACTTGGCCTATAAAGACAAAATGACAGTGAGATGTATAAAACGTCAAAGCTCTACTTCGATAAACTAAATCCCAGCAGCATTGCAGTTAATACACTAATTTCTACAGAATTTGTTCTGTGGGTTAGGTATGGCCCACCTCAGCTGCTCCGTATGACACATTTCATCTATTCTGTTGGACAGATATGATTCCTTTAACAGCTCCGCATGACAGTTATGACACATTCCATCTGTTCTATGGGCCAGATATGGACCCTTTAGATGCTATTTATAACAGTTATGACACATCCCATCTGTTCTGTGGGTTAGGTATGGCCCACCTCAGCTGCTCCGTATGACACATTTCATCTATTCTGTTGGACAGATATGATTCCTTTAACAGCTCCGCATGACAGTTATGACACATTCCATCTGTTCTATGGGCCAGATATGGACCCTTTAGATGCTATTTATAACAGTTATGACACATCCCATCTGTTCTGTGGGTTAGGTATGGCCATCTAAGATGCTATGTATTACAGATATGACACATATCTTCTATTATATGGGACTGGCGTGACCTACCTCAATGGCCATGCATGACATATGACATGTTCTATCTATTCTGTGGAACATGTATAAACCACCTCACTTGCTATGTATGGTAACTAAGATGCACCCCATCTATTCTGTGAGACAGGTATTACTCATCTCATCTGCACTGTTTTACAGATATGATATATTCTATCTATTGTGGGTCATGTATGTTTGTATACAGGAACGAACTTTGGGCCAAATCTGGGGTATTGCCACGGCCGTTTCAAATGTTGTAACGCCACTATTCGTATGTTTCTGAACGACCCTAAACACTCTCACACCATTTTAAAAATAATAGCTTCATTTACATTTTAGATTAAGAGAAATAATAGTCAGAAATAGTAAAATTATTGTTTTTATATTTCTTCATCTTATTAAAGAGGTAAAAAATATAGTAAACAAAAGAGGACGGGCACGAAATCAAATTTCACTGGTAGATATTAATTTGTACTTGGGATTGTGGACAACTGTAGCACACATATCAGTATTTGTATGATAATATTAATGGTCACAATGTTAAAACTGATGACTTAAGAATCTAGGGGTAGATGGAAAGTGAATTTAGGGAATACCGAGTTAGTTGCTATCCCTAATATTTGGAGTTCGAATCCCTCTTCGTGTTGAATTTTACTTTCAATTACATTTGAAATAATTTAATATAATAAAATGTATTTAATTTGTTACACATTAATAAAATAAGCTTTCAAAGAATGGTAAAAATATTACTATTTTTATCGTTTGTTTTCGTGCTCTTTTTTCCAGTATCATGGTCGTAATGCATGGAATATTCATAGATTAATTAATATAAAAATAAAGTTCCTTTATTTTAGCAAATAGTTGTACTAAATAAACAACTCATGTAATAAATAATTCTGACGAGTTTGTATGAAAAGTATTCTACATTTTTAATCACAGAAAAAAACTGATTTCAGTTTGCCAAACAGGACTTATAAATTGACAAAATGTATTAGTTTCCATTTATGGAGGATTAAAGTCCCTTTTTTTTAATTCACAATTTATTAACCTAAATTAAGTTAGGTATGTGAATAATATTACCGCAATGCGCCAAATTTATTATCCGCTACTATACAGTAGACCAACTGTTTGATGAAATTACAAATTTCTTTTCATCAAAGGTAAAATTAAAATTATATTCCATGACGTATTACTTTTCATGTACAAAACAGATGTACGATAGTGAGTCCAGTTAAGAAAACCTGGAGTAACACTACTGTTACTGTGTACACAGGGGGCAAACTTTTGGCACAAACAAGTGGTACAATTATTGTTCTTCTTTCAGTTCTCGTCCTTGTTGTGGACGTAAAATACAAGGTAAACAAAGTGAGAGATATCGCAAAAAAATGGAAAAAAAGAGAGGAAATTACAAGTACATATATTGATTGAATTAGTAATTGAAAAGACGTTAATACTTTTTAATGGTTAATACATCCCACAGTTACCAGGGGCATAAATTCCATCTGAATCAAAACGAAGACTGACTTTAGGGTATAGGAGTAGATGGAAAAGCTAAAGTCAAACAGTCGCTGATGGGCAAAGACTAAGTATTCATGTTGCAGTGTCATTGTTGGCTTAAATCTCATCTTAACTGGGATATTCCTATGATTTTAACCTTATGTAAAATACGACATATGTTAATAAAAAAACAGTCAAAAAAGTGATATATTTATATGTGTGTGTGTAAAAATAATAATAAATTTTCATGAAATTCAAGTTTGTGCCGTTCAAAATCGCAATTAAAACATTTCACATGTACAAAACAGTTAAGTTAGAATAAAGGGGTTAGTATTTCCCAATTTTTTCTTGTTTACTTAGCCGCTGGCTCAGTGGTAAACTTAAGGACTTATAACGCTAAAATACGAGGTCCGATTCCCATTGTGTTGCTGTGCGCTTAACAGCAATCACCCGACCATCATTATACCCGTACACGGTTTGCCCTTTTATATAAGTAGGATCTTTTTTTTATCACATTTTTATATGATTGTCACTTTTATTCTAACTTGGTTGTTTTTGTAAACCTTTTGTTCAGGTATAATTACCTCCGTGTATACATTATTATCGTAACTTCTGTGACTTAAGAAAATAATTATGTGTGTTTATCTTACCCATAAAATAAAACCAAAAACATTCGTACAAATACTGGCATATGACAGGTAGAATGTCACGCCCTTAAATTAATATACAACATCACAATATATTTGATAAAATGATTTATTTGGAAGAGTCTGAACAGAATACGGCATTGTCCGTCTGTATATGATATCAACATATAAATTAATATACAATTATAATATTTTAATAACTATGTACAACTTTTTCTTGCAATCCAAGAGCAATAAATACTTTTCCACTTACCCTAATCATATAGTTAACACAACACAAACGTAAATAACTTTCTTCTGATGAACACACAACCTCCTCTATATGATACCACAGAAAAAAAATGTTCATTTTGTGGCTCTTTAACTTCAAAGGTACTTTTAGTGTCGCTGATACACTTGTTTGTTAGTAAAAATAAAAACAAGATCATATCGTGAAATACACTTGAGATATCTAATTAATTTGGTGAAGTAATTACAGTTATTAACCGTTGATAATTTTTTTGGAAGTTATTGCTGGGAAACTGATTACAAAAAAAAAGTTTAACTTCCCCGTATTCAGTTTTCTCATAAAAACTCTACGTATAACAACGGGGAATATACATCTGATAAAAAAGAAAGAATGTCCTGATTTTTTATCCAAACTCAATAATTTCGGAAAATTTACTTTCCAGTATTAAATTATATCTTTGGCTAATTTGATCTTTCAGTAATTACACTGAACACATGTTTTCGCAATAACGTTTCTAAATCAAACTGGTGTATTTACGTGTTTTACACTCACCAAAAAAGAAACCTATCATTCTATAGGTATTTAAAGAACTTGTAGTAAGTTCTTCAAATACCTATAGAATGATAAGTTTCTTTTTGATGAGTGTAAAACACGTAAATACACCAGTTTGATTTTCGATACCTCGCTACTATAAAGGCTTGGTTTGGTCTGATA